GGTTGGAGAGACCCTCTGCTCTGGGGGCAGGCTGGGAGAGCTGGGGGGTTCACCTAGAGAAGAGAAGGCTCCAGGGAGAGCTGAGAGCCCCTTCCAGGGCCTAAAGGGGCTCCAGGAGAGCTGGAGAGGGACTGGGGACAAGGGATGGAGGGACAGGACATGGGGAATGGCTTCCCACTGCCAGAGGGCAGGGTGAGATGGGATAGTGGGAAGGAATTCTTCCCTGGGAGGGTGGGGAGGGGCTGGGATGGAATTCTCAGAGCAGCTGTGGCTGCCCCACCCCTGGAAGTGTCCAAGGCCAGGTTGGAGCAACCTGGGCTGGTGGAAGGTGTCCCTGCCCATGGCAGGGGGTGGCACTGGATGGGCTTTAAGGTCCCTTCCCACCCAAACCATCCCATGATCCCATGCCCGAGGCCTGTGGGACCTGGGAATCCCGCTCAGGTGCCCCTCTGGAATGCCCAGCTGATGCTGCAGGAGAAGGATGTGACTCCCAAGGCCCAGCTGCTCAAAGCCCCGTGCCTGCCAAGATCCAGCAGCTCCTGGGATGGGAACCAGGCTGCAGAGCCTCTCCGTGCCCGTTTTCCCGAGCAGGAAGCTCCGTGTTCCACCTCATCCCCCTTTTCCAGAGGCCAACTCCTGCCCCTGGGAGTCCAGAACCCTCCTGGGGTTCTTCAGGACAAGCTGGGGGCTGGATTCACCCTTTTTGCCTCTGGATTCACTGAGCTGAGACAGCAGCTCGTGCCTCCTTCCCGAGGCTCCAGCTTTCCAAAGCTGCCTTCCTTTGGCAATCAAAGCTCCCATTCCTTGGGAAAACCAGCTTGGAGCGACCTTTCCAGGGATCAGCCACTGTGCCAGGGGCAGGGGGGTGAGCCCAGCATGCCCACCCTGCCTCACCTCCTCCTTCTTCTTCTTTGGTTTGCTCTCCTCCCCCTTGTCCTCCGTGTCCGACTCCGCTTTGCGTTTGCTGCCCTCGGATTTCTCGCTCTCGTGGGCGGTTTTCTGGGATTGCAGGAATTCTGCGATGAGGTCGGGGCAGTCCAGGTTCTCCTCGGGCTCCCAGGTGTTGTCCTCGCTGCAAAGCAAACACGGCAGCTCAGTTCTGCAGCTCTTCCCAGGCTGAGAAAATCCCGGGATTTCGGCCGAGGAGCAGCAGGTCAGCCCCTGGCCTGATCCCGGCGGGAATGCTGGAGGGCAGGGCAGGGATTCCCCTCCTCAGGAGAGAACTGCAGCTCATTCCTCTGGCTGCTTGTCCCTCTCTGGGAAGGGGAAGACCCCCCCCGGGCCTGTTTGTAGGGCAGAACTGGGATTTTCCCACCCCAAGCCATGAGTTTGGGGCGTTTGGCAGAGCGGGATTTTCCCACCTGGAATTTGGGGTGCTTGGCACAGTGGGATTTTCCCACCCTGCCCTCCTGGAATTTGGGGTGCTTGGCACACTGGGATTTTCCCATCCTGCCCTGCTGGAATTCGAGGTGTTTGGCACACTGGGATTTTCCCACCTGGAATTTGGGGGGATTGGCACACTGGGATTTTCCCACCCTGCCCTCTTGGAATTTGGGGGGATTGGCACACTGGGATTTTCCCATCCTGCCCTCTTGGAATTTGGGGGGATTGGCACACTGGGATTTTCCCATCCTGCCCTCTTGGAATTTGGGGGGATTGGCACACTGGGATTTTCCCTGCTTTCCCTGTTTGCTCCATTCTCCACCCAAGGAGAGCCCCAGGGACACCGATCCTGCCTGGAATCTTTGGGATCCAAAGGCACAGGAGATGCTGGCACACCCCTGGCCCCCAGAACAGCCGGCTGGAACCACTTACTCCGAGAATCCTTTCCACTTGAGCAGATATTCCACCTTTCCCTTCACCACCCGCCGATCCAGGACCTTCTCCACCACATATTCCTCCTCCTCTTCCTCTAGGACCTCTTCCACTTTCTTCTTGTTCTGTTTTTTTCCCATTGTGCTGGCCAGCTTTTCAGCTTTCGGGCGACGCTGCTGCGAGGGGAGGGAGCCAAGGTCAGCCCTGGCTGTGCCACCCGGGAATTCTCCGGGATGCACAGGGGCAGGGAATGCTGCCTGGGAGAGAACAGGCAGGGAAAACACAGAGGGACGGGTCAGGATGGTGCTGCCAGGCCAACAGGAATCAAAAGCCCGGGATTTTGACGCAAAGCTTTGGGGTTTTTTTGCCTCTCCAGCTCCTCATTCCACCAATTCCACGAACGCTTTTCCCACGGGAGCTGTTCCACACCTTGTCCCTCCTCAACCTGCTCCCTTCCCTTCCCTCACCCCACACAGCCTAAAGGGTTGAACTGAGTGGTTTTTATATTAACTGGAAATTAATAAATCCTTAATCCAGGTCACATCCAAGTCCCAGCCCCTGATCCCAACCTCCCCACGCTCCTTCCTTTCCTGGATCGTGGATGGGCACTCTGGGATATTTATCCAACTCATCACCCCACAGCATGCAGGGTTTTATTTCCCCTCCTTATCTTCCAGAGCTGTTCAGTCAATCCAAAAATCCCTGGATATCCATCCAGGGCTGGCTGGGAAGGGAGAACTCTGGATTCAGAGCCAGTTGCCACCCACAGGGAAGCGTGTCCAGGTGGCCCTGGCACTGGATGGGCTTTAAGGTCCTTTCCAACCCAAACCATTCCATGATCCCATGATTCCATCCAGTCCCCCAGGATGAAGATTTTTTTTTGCCTTATTCAATGAAGGAAAAAAAAAAAAAACAACCACCTGGAAAGATCCCACCAAAACTGAGCCAGAGCCTGAGAGGCTTTTCCCTCAATTCCCAGGTGGAAATACTCCCAATGGCACCTCCAATCCCATTCCAGAGGGAAGCAAACCTGGAGCAGCGAGGCTCCTGGAGGTCTGGAGACTGGGAAGAGGAGGAGGAGGAGGAGGAGGAGGAGGAGGCAGGGCTGGCACAGCCACAGCCACAGCCGGGTGTGCAGCACAACAATGGAAAAGCCTCCGACCCTCCGGCATCTAATCCCGGGCCAGGAGCAGCAGGAAGCCCCAGGATCGTGTTTCACTCTGGAATTCCTGTGTTTCGCTCTGGAATTCCTCAGCCAGTTCCTTCCTCTCCCCTCCATCCTCCTCCTCTGGCACCACATGGCTGCTGGAGAAGGGGCTCAGAGCCCAGCACGCCAGGGAAGAGGAGATTCCAAGGTGATTCCCAACAAGGCTCCGAAGAAAAACTCCGGGAGCGCCCGGAGGGGCGAGATCCCGGGATTGCTGCTCTCAGCAAGGAATTCTCCTCAGCTGCAGCCAGGAGGGCTCCAGGGAAAGCTCTGTGGGCACTGCCTGGAGATGGAGGAGCTGCTCAGGCACCTGAGGGGGCTCAGCTGGATCCGGGGAGGATTCCAGAGGCAGCAGCTGGATCCAAGACTAATGGGAGAGGCAAGGGGAGCTCAGGGAGGAGCCGCTGAAATTCCAGGGAAACAGAGAAGGAGCAGCACCCCGGATCCATCGTTTTCTGGAGCAGCTGGGCAGGGAAGATGCAAATCCAAGGCTGGGAGCATTTTGGGAAGGAGCTTCCCCCAGAAGGGCTGCGGGAACCTCCCCAAACCTCCCGGATATTTGGGGGTTGTCCCTGCCAGCTCCCTGAGCATCCAATCCCAATCCTGGCTGGAGATCCAGGAGGATGAGGCCACATTCCCAGAGCCAGCAGGGAGCAGAGCTCCTGCACAGGCCTGTCCCTGCACTGCAGGAAAAAGGGAGAGAGGAGCTCCAAACCCTCCCTGGATTTATCCACACAGCACCCAAGCTGCTCCACACCGGGAATAACTCCATGGAATCCTCGGCCACCAACACCCAAACCCTGCAATTCTGGGTGTTGAAACAAGGCCTGATCCCTCCCTGGATATCTGGGAAGGCAGCACAGGGGGAATCCCTCCCTCCTCTCCAGGGATTCCGATCACACCTCTCGCTCCCACTGGGATGGAAAATGGAGCTGCTTCGTTTGGGGGCATTTTTGGGAAGCACAGATGTTCCTATTCCCTTTATCCCAACAGCCCCGTGGCTGCCCCAGCCCTGGAAGTTCTCCAAGGAAGTTTTGGAGCAAACCTGGGCTAATGGAAGGTGTCCCTGCCCACGGCAGGGGTTGGAACTGGATGAGATTTAAGGTCCCTTCCGACACAAACCATTCCATGATTCCACAGAATTTGGGGCTCTCCTGCCTGAGACATCAGTGGGATGTTCCCTAAAATTCAGGTTCAATTTTTTTTATACTCCACAAGTGAAAAAAAAACCAAACCAAAAATAGGATTTCAAGACAAATTTGGGACGAGTCAAGGCCAAATCTTTCCGTTTTCCTTTGCTGCTCCATCCCTAAGGATGGAGGCAAAGCTGGAATCTTTTGTGAAAAGGAAAGTGGAAGAGAGAGAAAAAAATAACTCCAGCTGGGAGGAAAAGGATCCAGGGCACACCTAAACCACTGGAAAAGAATTAGAAGTCAAGGAAAAGGCTGGGAATGAGGAGACCCAGCAGAAAAACAGCGGATTTTGGGGGCAGGAGGAAGAGCCAGAGGTTTAATCCAGATCCATTGGCTGCATCCTGAAGGATTAACGGTTCAGCTGAGCTTTAAGGAGTTTTAAACTTCCAACATTTCCTCCTGCCTCCCTCCAGCTTGGCTGGGATCACTCATCCCTTCTAAAGAGTCCCAGGCATGCCAAGTTTATCCCACACATCCCAAGGAAAAGGCAGCAGGAACCTGCCTTTGGAAGTGGGAATGTTGAGGCTTCCACTCTGCAAACAGGCAGGAAACATTCCTGGGAATTCGGGGTGAGAGGCTCCAGGCTGGGAGCAAAGGGAAAGCCACAACCTCCAGGCTCAGCCCCATCATTCCCAGTTAAATTCCCAATCCACGAGGGAAGGAACCTCTGGATTTGAGAGGTGCAATGGGAGGGATGGGAATTCCCTAATTCCCTACTGGAAAGGGAGAAAGGGAGGGAAAAAATCCTGCAGTTTTGTTGTGTGACAGCAGGGACAACTCCTGAACTGCTCCAGAGCAGAGAAGTCATGGAATCCCAGCAGGAATTCCAGGTGTTCTCCCAAAACCCTGCCCTGAGTCCTGCAGGGATCCCTGGAGCATTCCCAGCTTCCCACAGACAACCCCAGGCCTGCACAGCCCATCCCAGCCTCATCCCAAGGGATTCAGGGGCTGCACCCGAGGGCATTCCTGGTCCTCCCAGCCCATTCCCAGGTTATTTTGGCTTTTCCCTGTTTCTCATCCTTTCCAATACCGGGATCCCAAGCACGGGGAGGGAACCGAGCCCGGGCACAGCCCAAGGTGCAAACTCCTTCCTCCCCCAGTTTAGGGAGGAATTTTGGGATTTGTCCCTGTTTTTTAAGTTTCCAAACTCCAGAACCACAGCAGAACCTGGAACATTCAACCAGCACCTCCCTTTTCCTTACGCTCTGATCCCTCAGTTTTCCGGGAACACACACATTCGCTGCTCCCAAACATCGACCCCCCCCATCTCTGGGATCCCCCCCATCCCCATTCCCGACGTTTTCCACCCAAAATGAGGCCGCTGCCACCTCCTCCAGGCCACGTGGGAGCAGGGGAGCTGTTCCAGGAGCACCCTGAGCCAAACCCTGCTCCAGAGGCAGCTCCTCATCCGCCCCTTCCCCGGCCGTGTCCTTATCCAGAGACACAAATCCAACATTCCCACAGGTCCTGCTCCATCCCAAGGGCTTCACAACCCCCATTCCAAGCGTGCTGGCTCCCCCAGCTCCCGAATTCCCACCGGGAAGAGCTGGATAAAGCCTGCCCTGATGCTGAGGGTGGGCTGGGACTCCTGGGCTGGGTGTCCTGGCACATACGTGGCATTTTGGGGGGGCTCTGGGGGGTTCAGTGGGACTTTGGGGTCCCCTCCTCCGGGGGGGGTTGGACTGTGCCGCTACCCGAACAGCTCCTGCTCTGTCTCCCCCCCTCCCCTTCCCGACACATCCCAGCTTCCAACCACAGCTCCCCTCTCCCACCTCCTGCCGGCCCCACCCCAGGGGGGAGGGGGAGCTCTC